TTAAAGGTAATCAAGGCAGAACCTCTTTTTGTTTACGGGCCACGGAGATTTGGTTAATCCTTTTTTGTAGTTCTTGTTTTGCTTTTTCACTTTTAAAACCTATAACTTTTTTAATTGTAAAGGTTCGGTTTTTGGTAGAAATTTCGCTTTCTCTAATAGTAAAAAAATCCGCCACAAAGTTTCAATAAGAAGTATAAATTGCGGGTTGTAAGAACTTTAAAATCCCAAAAATATCACTGGAATGATTAACGATTGGGGTTCCGGTCAAAGCCATTTTATATTCACTGTCTTTTAAAGTATAAATGCTTTTACTTTGTTGGGATTGACAATTCCTTAAAAAATGAGCTTCGTCAATAATTGCACAAAAAACGATTCCTTGCGCTTTTTTTCGCAAATACCGAAAATATTTACTGTCAATTTTAAAAATATCTTTGGAAACAATAATTATTCAGCCTTTTTGTTGGCTAAATTTTTGGTAAATAATTTTTCGTTCTAGTAAAGTTAGATAACTGATAACATAAGCCGGCTGGTTAAGTCATTTTTCTACTGCTTCTTGTCATTGAACTTGGAGAATACCGGGACAAATAATTAACAAATTAGGAATTTTTCAACCTTTAAAAATGGCCAAAGCAGTGGGGGTTTTGCCGGTACGCATTTCGTTAAAAATTCCAATACTTTTTTGTGGGCTAAGAAATTTAACATCTTCTTGTTGATAAGCCCTTAATTGCAGGCTACTTTCTTCGTTTATTTTTGTCTCGGCGGGGGTTTCTCAGGTAGGAAAAATTTTTTTTAGTTTAGCCAAATTAAGTTTATTTCTAGCTAGATAATAACTTTGAGATTTGCCGTTGTAATTAGCGTTTAGAGCAATTGCTCAACTGTAATTAGTTTTTAAAAAGATTTGGTCCTCTGTCAGGTGGATAATTTCAATTTTGAAGTGGAATAATACCGAGGACATAATATCTACAATTCCACTTTTTCAACCTTGATATTTTTAATCTTAGTATTGCTAATTAATATTAACAGATGAAAAATTACCGCTTGGTGAACTAATAAAACTGCTTGGTTTTTTTGGTAAAATTCATGACTAATAATTATTTTATTAACGGAACGTAAATCGTATAAAACTAAATAAACAGCACTTCCTTTAAC